GCCTGTCCTGCTGGCTTCATTTCCACCACCGGCTTCTTGGATTACTTCCGTGGCTGGCTCGATTTTCCTTTTCTTCTCACTCACTGTCTGGTGACCGCTCATTTAATTTCTGTCTCAATTTTGTGTGTGTCTCTCTCTCCCCCGGCTTGCCCCTGTCTGTCCACGCTGTGTGCTGACTGTCTGCGCTGCTCATTCCCTGCTGCCTGTAGCGTCCATCAGGTGCAAGCCACTGACCTGCGGAGAGTGTCCGCCCCCCCGGGCTCCTTCACCATGTGAGTACAGCCTTCCTTCCTTCCTACGTCCGCCGGCCCGCGTCCTCGTCCCTCGTGCCGCTCAGGTCCGCTGCTCGGGCCGGATCCGCCTCCCCTCCTTGCCTTCTTCAGCCTCCTCGCGGGAGACGGAGTCCGGCAGCTCTGTGTGTTTTATTTGTCTCAGAAATTCATTCTCGAAGAATCCCAGGTTTAAGTTTTTGAATAGATACTTAGGAGGCTACCGTGGTAGAAGATAACCTAAAATTCCGTCCTAAGCGTTGGCTTTATGGAAAGTCTTTTGTTCCGTTGGGGCCAGTTCTTTGTTTTTTGGCCCGGCCCGACGCTGAGGAAGTGCCGCTCCCCCATCTGTGGGTGGACCCCCAGCCCGAGTGAGGTTTGAGTGTCCATGTTTGCATTTTACAAGACAGGCGTGTTTCTGTCCTGGGGTAGCTGCACTTCGCTGCTCTCGGCCCCCATCCTGTCACCTGCTGTTGTCAGCGCTGCCCCGGAACTGCAGTGACCTCACTTTGGTTCTTTCGAATGTCAGGACTCCTTTATCTTAAGCTAAACTTCAGCTGATGTTTTTGACTCTCAGATCAGCCACTCTCTGCCCTGAACAACTTTTATTTTTATAGATCTTTTCTTTGGGAGATGAAGGTTATTCTGCTGTTGCTGAAGTAACTGTTGCTTTCTGAAAGCAACTGGAGTCATCACGCTGTCTCTTCTGTTTCCTGATGATTTTCTCTGGCTAGGGAAGTGCGTCCTCGTGGTAACAGTGCAACCTGTAGGTGATCAGACATTGCACCATACTTCTCATGTCTGTGAAGGTGGGAAGTTTCAGCTTTGCACAAAGATGGGTCTTTGAATTTCTTTCTTTTTTTTTTTTTTTAAGATTTATTTCTTTGTACATACAGAACTGGGGTACAGGCCAGAGGCTCAGGGGCGGTGAGAGGTTTCACCAGAGACAGAGTGGGGAGCAGAACAGGCAGATGGACGAAGTACACTGCTGAGGGGAGTAGCGGGCGGGTCAGGAGAGGTCTGCCGCGCCATGTGGTCACCTCCCGGGCAGGCCGGGATCGCACTCATGCAGAAGTGGCTTTAGCTTCTCAATGCAGTGCTTTAACCCGCTGCGCCACCAGGGAGGGCCTGAATTTCTTTTTATCCTGTGTCCGAATATGAATGGTGGACTTCAATCCATGTTATTTACTGGCTTCAGCCCATAGGACAAACTTAACAAAACCAAGTTGAGTATTTCACCCCAAGTCTTGTATCATATAGGGTTTTTTTTTTAATCAGAGGATAATGTAATTCCTAGATTTGATATAAACAGAGTTTGTAAGCTGCCATTTCTACTTTCTTTTTGAAAACTGGGATATAAGCACATAATTTTATTTTGGAGGTTAGAGGTGTACAACGTGATGATTGAATGTTTACATATAATGTGAAATGATCTCCACAGTTAATCTAGGTAATGTCCATTACCACACCTACAGGGTTTTTCCTTGGCATGAGAACTTTTAATATCTACTCTTATAACAACTTTACAAATGCAACAGAGCATTATTAACTATAATTGTAATGCTCGATATTACACCCCCTTATTTACTTTATAAAAGGCTTTTGTACCTTTTGACCCATCATAGGTCTATGATTTGTTTTGAGTTAATTTTTGTATCATATGTGAGATGCAGGTTGAGATCCCCATTTTTGCCTATCGATGTTCAGTGGTTCTAGCACCATTTGCTGGAGACTCTTTCCCATTGAATTGCTTTCCCATCTTAAAAAAATCAGTTGTCTCCCCAGTCCACAGCTATCATTCCTTCTCCAGAGTACTCATTGAGCTGCTTTCTGAAGTCCTCTAAGTTTCTCTGCTGCATTCATTGAAGAAGAAAGAATGGAGTGTATTTGCCCAGAACCAGAAACCCTCTTCTACCTTTGAAAGCAGGGGCTTCCATACTGTACCGCCGCGTCCATGTTGCGGTCACACAGGGAGAACCCCAGATAAATTCAGCAGAACCCCTCCTCAGAGACCAGTGTATTTCCAAGTTCAGCCAACATATGTTCAGTGCAGTTTGCCATCTTGAGCAGCTTCACATGTAAAGGTAAACAGGATACTTCCCAAAGCCAGATTGTGTGGATTTGTTACCTTGGGGAAGGCAGTGTTAGATACAGATCCAGGAAAAATATCTGAATCATCATATGGACCAAAAGCTGAAACTAATTAAGCTTTCTAAAACTGCTTTCAATAAGTGAAGGTTTCTTGATAAGTTTTTGTTCCAGGAAGAAAGGAAGTTTTACTAGGAGAAAGAGAAATGTTTTCAATCTGTCTTTTTTGTTTGTTTGTCTTTTAAACATGATTCTGTCCTGGATTGAATTTAAGAATTTTATTTTTGGGAAATTACCAAGACAGCACTAAAATCTGCCATCTTCATGACTTGAAGGGAATGTACATAATCGGTCACAGAAAGTTTAAAATTCACGTGGCTCTGACCAAGGTTGCAAACTAGTGCCTCTTCGAAGGGCTTTTTAAAATCCTGTGATTCAGTTTTCTGACTAGTCACATCAAGCCTTTTATTTTAACATCTTCATGAATTTTGGTAATGGGCTATAAAATCTTCTGTTTATTTTGTTTGTTTCATGCTGGCCTCTTTTTTTAAAAATATAATATAATATTATTTATTTTACATCATTGTTTATTTTGTACAATCTTTGCTTTCTCCTCTCAGATGTAGTCCCTGTAGAGTTTCCACCGCCAGTTCACTCCTGCACCGTCACCAGTCCTTTGCGCTCTTCCCTCTCATTTTGATCCTTCTCCACTCTTCTCCCCTGCAGAATGTCTCTGATTTATAGCTGCCTGTTAATTTTTTTAATTGTTATTATTTTTTCCCTGATCCCTTATTCGGTTCCACTATATTCCTGCTATAAGTGAAATAATCTGGTATTTTTCATTTTGCTTGACTTAGTTCACTGAGCATAATCCCTTCTAACACTATCCATGTAGCTGTGTGAATGCTGTGAGCTTATATTTTTGATTGCTGCATAGTAGTTCATTGTGTATATGTACTACATCTTGATTTTGGGCATCTATTTTTGTTTCCATATCTTACCTATTATAAATAGTGCTGCAGTAAACAGAGTGCAGATAGCCTTTGGAACAAATGTTTTTGTGTCCTTTGGGTAGGTTCCTAGGAGTGGAGTTTCTGGGTAATATGGTAGCTCCAATTTTAGTAGTTTGAGGAACCTCCATTTTTTTAAATAGTCATTTCTATAGTGGTTGGGCAAGTTTCCATTCCCACCAGCAGTCTAGGAGAGTTCCTTTCTCTCCACATCCTTGCCAACATTTGTCGTTGCTAGTTCTTTTTTTTAACGTACCATTATTACTGTGTGAGGTGGTATTTCATTGTGGTTTTTATTTGTATTTCCCTGACTAGAAGGGATGTTGAACATTTTTTCATATGCCTATTGAATCCTGGCCTTTAATTAGCAAATAAGTCTTGATTTGTTTTGCTCAGAAACCTTTCTCTTCTCCTTTGTTGTTGTTTTATTTTTCTCTAAATTCCACATCCTGGATTCTTTCAAGGAGAAATTAATGCCTGGACTGTGTGGACATTTACCTGCTTGTCTCTGTATGCTCTGAAATAACCAAGAGAGATTCAGACAGGGTTTGCCTTAGGATGAGCAAAGTTGTTGATGGCTAACACACAAACCTTCCAGCAAGTTGTAAGTGGAGCTAAAGGACATTGTTCTTGCAATGATTTGCAAATAGATTTTCAGTATTCAGTATGTAGATAGGACTACGGTTGACCTCTTTGGATCCAAATTTATTTTCTGTAAAAATAAGTTGGTTAGAGTTTAAATTTTTGTTTCAATCTGAGTTCCTAACACATTACTATAATAAGAGCAACTATAGAAAAACATACAGATTATAACTGGAAAAAGGAAAAAGTAATTCTGCTAGTCTTCATGAATAAAAATTTGATTTACAAATGGACTATCGATCCAGGGGAGACCAAATACTTTTAGAAAGTAGTTATTCCTATCTTCAGAGAAGCCATTACAGCTGCCGTGTTAATCGAGTTACTGAATTCAAAGAGGAAAAAAAGAAATATTTCTGATTTTACTCCAGCACTGCAATGCTATCTGATACTACATCTGCCATGGAGTAAGAAGAATTCATCAATAACAAGAAATCTAGATGTTCGTCTCAAGCATTCCAAGAGGGTGTTTAATTTGGATTGCTTTTTGGAGGTAGTAATGAACTGCAATATGGGTTTCATTTGCAGGGAGGTTCGATTTAATTATACCAAAGGCAATTGAATTTTCCTGGTCTGTCATCATACACTGAAACACTTAAATGAAATGCAAAGAGCACATTTTTAAAGGCATAATAAGAAAATACTTGTTTATGCAAAGTTTAATTAATCCCTAGGATTAATCACATTTTGTGTCAGAAAATGAAATTCTAAAAATGAAGTTAGCAAGCTCCCAAGTTGGGACTAAGATATTTCACTAAGGTGAAAGCAGCATTTGGAAGAATTACAAATGGAACAAAGAGACTCAAGCTTTTCATTTTATATTACAGAAAACTGCAATTATTTTTGAAAAAATTAATCCTCTAAACTACTCTGAGGAGCAGTGATTTATGTCCTCCAGTTGGGACATAAGTAAGTCTTTTTGTTTGTTGAGATTTTATTGCCAGGCAAAGTAAACACGATCACATGTTTCCTTGAAGAAAGGCTCTTGGTTTATGAAAATTCTAGACTTCTGCCTTTATCATTCAAGTTTCTTACTCGTTTACTCTTAAAATTGTATCTTGGGAATTTTATCCTCAAGTTTTACTATAAAATTTTATAAAAGTTGTTTTTCGTGACTAGTGATAATAGGATTCTGATTAAAAGGACTGAAAGGGTGTTCCAGTTTGTTCCTCTTGGATTTCTGAGAAAGACATGAGATAGAGAGGGCACATCTGTTATAAGTGGGGGGCTGACCTCCCCACCAGGTGTGGCTTGGTGGGTGGAACC